TTTTTTTTCAGGAGACTGCAACCGAGGTAATGGATATGCAGAGTAGTCGTGATGTAGTTGCGCAATGGAAACGACGTCTGGGAGCTGACTTCGAAGTGGTCAGTGTGGATCTAATACCAGATAAATGCGAGGACGGTGGGCTGGGCATTTCGCTTGAGGGCACAGTGGATATCGTGAATGGTACTCAGCTATGTCCACACCACTACATCGATTCCCTGAGACCCCGTGGGCCTGCTGCTTCCTCCAATGCACTCCGTTCTGGCGATGAATTATTGCAAGTCAGTTTCTTTTTCTTCCAAGTATTTCTTGCCTGAGTTCCATAATGACATTCTGTTCCAGTTCCACGTTTGGGCATACACTGGACTGGCTTTTTAGCATTAACGCTTCTCGGATAGTAACGATCGTGTGTATAAATTATGATTTAAAGTGGTTGTTTTAAATAATTTAAATGAGTGTGTGTGGAAAAAAGACGGGTTATTTAAAAGTATTGTAGGCAATTTTCGCACATCAAAAAATGAGGAAAAATCAGAAACAAAAATGATTAAAATAAACAGGAATATTTCAATCCATTAAGTCACATGATATTGCGGTGCATTTCTAACTTTGAAGGTAACGCATGTGATGTTGCGCTGTCTTCAGTTCTAGAAATATAAGTAATGGATTACATCAAAGTTTAATTTCCGTCTCATAATCCGTGTATGAATTGTCGCTATACTGCATGTGCAACTCTAAAACCCCATCACACAGGAGGAGTGTTAGACACAGGACACTATCATATTAAGTCCATTAGGTCCAGTTCCTCATCGAGACGAAAGATTTTGTCGTTGAGGGAGGCTGTGACACCATGATATACCCGATTTCAGAACAATAAAACACCTTCACTTTTGCAAGTAACAATAACACAACTGCTGACAATGGAAGAATAGAAATATCCTTAAAGCACATAAGTTCGGTGAATCGAAAAGCCTCGATGCCAGGCAAAGACTGGGAAATACAGTTTGGCAACTTCAGCTTCATGCTTTGTCGAATCGTTTTGATTTTTGAATTACTGTGTCTGTTGAATAAGCTTTTTAAGGCAAATGATGCGGTGCTATATGGGGAATCACATGTAACAGTAAGGCAAGCACTCAGCAAAGCAGCCTCCACTTCACAGCGAGTGAGGCTAACGGTGGCACGAAAGGCCCAAACCTTAAATGTATTTATGCCAAGACCTGAGCAAAGCCTACCAGTCGCATATCATTTGCTGGCTGCCACTGACGATCGCCTCGTTAAGGTAAGTTCCTTTTCTTCATTTATCCTTCGAATGTAGTGAAGTTCAAAATTGCAAGATAACGGGGTAGGGAATGACGTAGTTTGGTGTCTGGCGAGGTAGTGGTAACATCAGAGTTCTTCACTTGTAGCTGATCATTGGTATGTGTATAAGGTATAAAACTGTATTAGAAAATTAGATGAACAGCAATGTTTCGGTCCATTAAGTCGTGTACTCGATCATGTCTGTACGGCGGTTATGGGGTTGATAGGAAATAAATTATATAAGAAAATAAGAAAATTGATTGTAATTTTAAAAAATAAGGAGGAAAAACAGTGAGAACTGACTGTTCGGGTGAATATAGTAAATTAAAAATTGCCAGTTATGCATATAAGTGCATTTTTATATGAATTTTTTAAAATTTGAATATATGTAAATAAACACATTAAATATTTCATATGTGTCTTAAGATCTGTGTGAAAAAAATGTTATAATGGTAAACAAAAGTGATTGCGCTGCTTGTGATAAGATCACCTAGGTTATTGGTCAGGCAAATAGAAAAGTTGCTAGCTCTGTAGCTGAAGAATTAGCTATGAATTGCAACTAATCAAATTACTAAGTACCACTTCTGAATGCTTTCGCCCCCACGAAACACGAAGTACAGGAGGTTTCAATTCGAATAAACTTTAATAGATGTGTATTCGAAAGGTTAATTTCAGGCCAAGTCTGAAACCTGTCTTGCAAGCAACAGTTACGATACAACGGCTGTTATACTGGAACAGGTACGTTGCAAAATATCGCGTCCTATTGTGCTGATCCAGAAATCAATCGCTAGTGCATTCCTCGGCTTTGTCCTGTCAAAAACGACACTCCTTGGCCAGTCATATAGTATCAGCTGTTATAGGTCCTTGTGATAGAAATACGTAACTGCATAGAGCTTTTGCTCTTGCCTCGGTGAACTTCAAGATTAATGCACAATTCTTTATACTCCTCTGGCACATAAACTATTTTGAGCTTTACTAAGAGATTCTGTAAAAGTATTATTAGGCTTCTCTTCAGACGACTTCACACGAAGAGCTGAAGAGGTCTGATAATTACGTTCGATTTCCATCTTCCCTTTGTGAGAGTCTTCGTATTCAGTTAGAGGAAAGAGAGAGGCGAGGAACGGAGAGGGTCTTCTTTTCGTCGTAGTAACTCAAGATCTCATGCTTATTAAATTTAATATTCATTGCTTTTTGAAATGTTGGTCAGAGGGCGTTGCATATCAGTGAAATTGGTGTTGCAAGAGTGAACCCAGGCTGGAACGCACCAGGCGAGGCGGTGCGATCATGTGTTTTTGCATTAAACTTGAAGTAATTGGTTTAGCTGCATGAACGGTTGTTTCTTCACACCCACCTTGTGCGCTCAGTGCAGTAAATCATCGTAAGTTTTGCATTCCCGTTTAGTAGTTTAACAATTTAACAATTTCCCGCCAAAAAAGTTTCATAAGATCGTACCTGAGTACGACTGGGGGCTGAATTTGATAACTTTAAGTCTGGGTTGGGAACATTCCCTGAAAATTTCAACTTCCCAGCTTTGCTAGTTCCCAAGTTAGCAATTTTCGCGCCAGGAACCCTTACGTGGACATACACGGGAACCACGCACGCCTGGGGGCTGAATTTGAAATCTTTGAGTTCCATGGAGATGGGGGACATAACTTCAAAATTTCAGCTTTCTGTCTTCTCTCGTTCCCGAGTTATCAATTTTCCCGCGAAAACTTTCACCTCCTCATACGCGGGGCCCAGATTTGCGCGACGGTTGGTACCACGACGACCCTGGGGTGGCACTTGGCCGGGAAACCCACCTGCAAAATTTTGGCACCGGAACTTGCTTGGGTACCGAGTTGAAATGCCTGAACAGACGAACACACACAAACATACACACACGGACAGGGTTGTCCCAGTATGCGTTTTTGCAATTTGCATATAGGCAAAAACGCATTAAAACCACCTGATCAAGCAGCTCCCGAAAAGTTGGGGCATAATGTACGTAACACAGATGCCTAGTGAAAGGATGCAATGAAAATGGAAAACCTAACATAACTGTCTCCAGTAAGTAGTGCCATCCCAGTACACCATATCATCGAATCTTCTCAAGGATTGCTCGCACGATTCTGATAATCTTAGTATAATTGCTAGTCGAAATGGATGAAACAAATGTTTTCCTTGCGATAAATTTTTCTTCCACGTGGTTAAAAATGCCAAGACCAGATAACCGACATGGGTGTCCCACGTCAGTGCTATTACTGGGATGTTCTCAAATTACTTTGTACAGCTGTGCCAGGCCCTTCGATCTTGAACCATACACCTCCCAATTAATTTCTACGGTCTATTTGATGTAGTTGTGCCACGTCTTCGCAGGGGTGGCCCTTTACTTCCTCGCAAAACGTTACATCCATCGGTTATTACCGAACATGAGCAGTTGGTTAGATTTGTGTATATCCCGTGCGCCTTTTATCTGGCAAAAAGTCTTGAGCGCTTCGGTTACTTGCTTTTTTAAAGATGGATTATATATCTGTGAAGCGAATTGTTCCAGGTTTCACGACGCCTGCGATCCCGTTCCCTGCAGCTCTTCACTGGACTTGCCATCTGGAAGTGTGTTCCAATCATTGTACAGCTAGAAAAGGATAGCCGCGGTCTGGGATTTTCAGTTGTCGATTACAGAGTTTGTTCCTTACTTCCCATCTAGTCTGTATTCCATAAGGAACCTCATTTTACTTGTGGATTTTTGAAAAATGACGCGTTTATTTGTCTTGCTTTCCAAATCTGGACAGCCGTTCCCGTTTCAGGACCCGTTGCATCCGGGTGAATCGGTAATTGTAGTACGATCGTTGGTACCAGGTGGTCTAGCACAGGCAGATGGAAGGATAGTACCAGGCGATCGGTTGATGTTTGTCAACGATGAAGACCTATCCAACAGTACATTGGAACATGCTGTGGCGGTCCTGAAGTCGGCACCCGATGGACTGGTACGATTGGGTATCGCTAAGCCAGTACCCATCGAACAGGTAATGTACAATAATAGCTCGAAATAAGATATACACTACCTCGAAATACATCAATGATGTGCACTAAAGTTTCATTTATCTTCCGGCTGTTACAAAAGTTGCCAGAGTCGTTGGGTGTGAAGAATGGGGAAAAAGAATAAGCCAGTGGAGTGTAAAATTCAGCTTGCGAAGGTACCGGATTTTGCAAAAAATGGAAAAGTCGAATCACTGAATTTTATTTTTAAATATCAAGTAAATAAAAAGTAAATTTTGCAAAATAGGAAAGGTTGCTAATTTTTATGCGTTTTTGCATGTATGTAAATTGCAAAAATGCATATTGGGAAGAGGCTGTCTGTGTG